TATATATATATATATATATATATATATATATTACATCATCTATTCATGGTGGAGTATACGTGTACATAATTCTCTGAATTCCCCATTGTGGTGCAGGTAGTCCAGAGGGAGCTGATAAGTCAACAAGCTTTTTCTCCCCTTTTGCTTCTGGTGTTGCAACTAGATGGTTGAATCTTGCTACTCATGACTGTATGATATGTTAAGCATTGCTAATTGATTATTTTTATTTTACTGGTGTTCTGTTTTTATGTGGGTTGTATATTCTAAACCCATTATTTTTGTGACCTACTCTTTTGAACAACTCTAATATAGAGGTGTTGCTAAAGAATTGTGTCTCTTTCATTATTATTCTATACTGTTGAAATACGTCTGAACCCAGTGTCAAAGGTGTTGGGAGGCTTGCAAGGTCAGGGCAACCACTGTAGACAAGCATTTTCAAGCAGCCCCTGTGGCTAATAAACATATATATATATATACTTGATTTTCAGGAAAAATATATATATTTCGGCCATGACTGTATATATATATATATATATATAATTTTTTTTTTTGAGATTTGAACATTGGAAACCTGCAATCGTTTCCTTGCCTTCTTGACATATTGTTCTAGCTTCCATTAATTGGATTGGGACTATTGGTAAACAACAATGCTCAAATCTTGTCACAGGTTCCACATTTGGATTGAGGATAGTGCTTTTATTGGTCTATTTTAGAGTAGCTTTGTATGTCTGTTCGGGTGTAGAACCACTTTAAATGCTGACCTATACTGTGTTATTTTGATACAACAGAAAAGGTCCAAGACTAGCACTAAGGGTTTTATACATGGTATTAAGACAATGATACTGTAGGGAGATAGAAGATGAATTACACCCCATGGGGTTGTCATTTAGTGTCTTTAAGCCATCTGTTTCTCTAAGTTCAAATCATTCACTCACAGACCAGCAACTACTCATACCAGGTAATTGCTGGTGGTTGAGTGAGAACCTAGCAATCGCTGATGTCTTTTTACTGAAGACAGGTAAGGTGCTGCTTCAATTTAGCAGTTTATCCACAAACATTCATTGTAAACACTGCAGCGTGCTTAGTTGGCAGGAGAATCTAGCATGAAATCTGTATTCTGCATCTATCATCTGAAGACAATCTAAAATCAAAACTTATTTTAGACTTGGATAAAGTAGGCAGGAGCTAGATTCCCTGCCAGGTTATGATTTTCTATGTCCCTGCTGTGAATTTTTAAACTCCCAATTTGTCCATGTGACCATTTTCACCAGAACACAAAGTGATGGAAAGTCCAAAATGTGTAACTGGAACAGAGACTAATTAATACAGGTCATACATGGGTCTAATTCAGAAAGAATTTTCTTTAGAAAATTGGAAATTTTGTAATCAGATGATGCCACCATTGATTTTGAAATTTGACCAACCAAGTCGATCTCCAATCCCACAGGATGCCAGTTTTGGAGAACCGTGTCAGGCGGAGTCTTCTGTGACGTCACCACGTTCCGGCCGGCAGAATGACACCGCGGTTGATTTGATTTTTTACACTGCCTTCATGCACCTTATCTATGTAAGTGCAATATTTTATTGAATACATTTCTGAGTTCTATCGGGTTGCACTATGATGTCTCTTCTGTTTTAATCCCTCTCTACATTGTATGGAGAGTGGTTTGATGTGAAGAATTCGTTCGGGTGAGCCCACAGCAGGCCATCCATCTCTCTCAATATTGTTACTACGGGTGTCAGTGTGGAGTCTGGACACCATCCGCTCATTTGATCTCTTGATTGGGAATCAAATTGGTTCAGTAAGAGGCTGATTTGTTTGATGTGGCGAGCACTTGTGAACACCATAGCACTTTGTTGAAGATTGTATTCAGCACACAGCACTTTCACATTGGACTTGGGACTTATTGATTATTTATATTATGGACATGGATTTATAGTACTATGTAATTTTTTCACATTTGTATATGTTAATTTTTAGTCAACTTTTTGGTTTATTATGTTTAGTCATTGTGTCAGGTTTAATTAGTGTACAGCGCACTCATTAGTTTTTTATTTTCGTTTATTGTGGTATTCAGGAGCTAGATTCCCTGTCAGGTTCTTATTTTCTATGTCCCTGCTGTGAATTTTTAACCTCCCAATTTGTCCATGTGCCCATTTTTGCCAGAACGCAAACTGATGGAAAACCCAAAATGTGTAACTGGAACAGAGACTAATTAATGCAGGCCATACATGGGTCGAATTCAGAATTAATTTTCTTTAGAAAATTGGAAATTTTGTGCATTTTGTAATCAGATAATGCCACCATTGATTTTGAAATTTGACCAACCAAGTCTTCAATTTTACCTCGTTGCTACAGAAAAGAAATTTCATAGCCAAGAATTTTCTTTTCTTTCCAGGTCACAGCTCATTTCTTTTTTACATTTCTCACACAATTCTCTCATCATTGATTAGAAATTAATTTGTTTTTCCAAAAATTTCCAACATGCCCGATCTCTCAAATTTGATGGTCGCTCGAAAATTGTCTGATACTGCTGCCCACTAACGGTGAGAAATTTGAATGAAAATTCTTAGAAAAGATTTTCAAAAGAAAATTATTTTGGAATTCGACCCATATATTGCCAGTTTAAATCTCTCAGGGAGGGCCTGTTCTGGTGGTAACTTTGTAAGATAGGATCTCCCCTGTGGAGAGATTTCCTCTCACTTCCTGTTGTATCTTTTGGACAGAAAATGAAAGAAAATGTCCTCAACTGGACACAGAAAGCAGTAAAAAATACATCCTAATCCAAAACATTAAAAACAATCTTGGCTTTAAATTTACATTAAATATGCACTCTAGGCAGATAATGGCAGGATCATGGCTGGATTCTGGATCCTTGAGATAGGGGATAGAAGAATGTGTGGTGGGTCATGCTTTGGATTGTGTTATCTTGGTAATGTAGTGGGACTATCAGAAGGCTTGCAACTGAGAGGGGAAATTAAGTGCACAAAATATATAGCAAGCAAGCATGGGCAGTGCCAGAAGCAAATCCTGCTTTGGAAGTTAGTGGAGAGAAATCTCTTATAAATGTAAAAAACCCCACAATGGTGTCAGCCCCTCCATTGGAGTTGCAATTGCCTTGGAGTTGGGTGCTGCAATGTTTTTATGGAAACAATTTTTTAACTATGTGGAAATAAAAATATACATTTTTTTTATGAAGTTGCCTCATGTTCTGCCGATAAAATCTGTCTTTTTTGGTAACATAGTTCCAAATTATAATGTATATGTCTACAGAGAAGATTGTGCAAAGGGGCAGTAACCCAGTGTGACATGGCCAGGAAAAGGAAGAAGCTGGCTGAAGATGGAAGAAGCTGGCAGAGGGAGAGGGGGTTTAAAAAGATAGGGCAGGTGGCTGTGGATCAAGGAATAGCCCATCAGGAAGAGCTTTCATCTTCGGGACAGGAAAAACACAGATGTAAGTTTAATATTACAAGTCCTGCTGACATTCCCTGCACTAATGTTCTTTATTTATAAATTGAGCATTATCCATTGTGCGTGGACTGAGAATCTGTCCTCAGACATCCTCTGAATTTCACAGGTTCCAAGATTTGGAACTCCCCTACATTTGCCTCTGCACAGAACTAGTAGAGTGTTTTCTGCCAGTACTATCTAGGTGCTAACATTCCCCCACCATTCTATTCTCTACAAGGGAGGTGAAGAGCACTGAAATCTATTACTATTGCAGCACAGTCTTCAGCTGTTCATCACGAGGATGTGAGTATCACAGGTCAGAAACAGGAAGGGGGATGTCAAATGAATTTATGAACTAGAGCCTATTTATTGCTTAAGAATAATGATTATTATTGATTTCTATAGCACAATCAATTACTGTGGCCCTTTACAAGATAGCATATATATATATATATATATATATATGTATATATATATATATATATATGAAGACGAGGTACTATAGCTAACACAGTACATAAAACGTTTCAAGGACATTGCAGCGATATATAAGTCTTTTAGGGCTTGGTCTCCGGCCATGATTTCTTGGAAAGAGCTGTGATTCAAGATGGCTTATTTTAATTTAGCTAGCATTTCTCAGTGCATGTTTCAAAATGAAATAGCTGCTATGAGCCACATCTCATTTTTTTTTTTGTGCATATGGGCTTATTGGAGTAGAAAGCTTTCTGCTGGCTTCTACCACACAATACAAACAGCCTGTCATTGAGCTGCTGACCATAAGACGAGTGAATGATGACCTTAGTGGGATCAGATTTTCAAGATCTAGAGTTCATTTACACCTATCTCACATGTTGCAGTGTATTGTGGTATCTATGTCCAGTAAGGAGAAAGGCCTGTCCTGCACCCAGGGCAAGAATGTGAAACTGTGCCCCCCTCTCCACTGCTAATGTATGACTTAGAATGGGTTTACTATCTCCTTTCCATTATCTGCCCCCTTCCTCCTGCTGCCTATGGTTGGCATGGAGTGTGCACTGCAGTGCCCGCAAGGTCCCTCTGCTCAAGAAAGCACATGTCCAGGCCTGTCTGAAGTTTGCCACTGAACATCTGAATGATGCACAGGAGGACTGGTTGAAAGTGTTGTGATCAGATGAGACCAAAAACGAGCTCTTTGGCATCAACTCAACTTGCCATGTTTGGAGGAGGAGGAATGCTGCCTATAACCCCAAGAACACCATCCCAACTGTAAAACATGGTGGTGGAAACATTCTGCTTTGGGGGTGTTTTTCTGCTAAGGGGACAGGACAACTGCACCGCATCAAAGGGACGATGGATGGGGCAATGTACCATCAAATCTTGGGTGAGAACCTTCTTCCCTCAGCCAGGGCATTGAAAATGGGTCGTGGATGGGTGTTCCAGCTAGAGATGAGCGAAGTATTCAAAAATTCGATTCGACTGGTTCGGCGAATTCGTGGAAAAATTTCGATTCAAGTCGAATATATTCGCTGTGAATTTAACTTAAAAAAGGGTGTTTCTAGGCTTCAGAGAGACTTAATATTAGTGCAGAACACTGTACCTTTAATTTAAATGCCCTTGGAGTCTGCTGGGGAAGAGAAATAATACTGTCAGTCAGTATGACATGCAGATGAGTGCCGTCGATCTTAGAATCACCGCACACTTCACTCATTTGGGCAGTCACGGGGCCAAAACCAGAGTGTGGAGCCACAGTGTGGCGGTGGAGGCAGCAGCAATGGGAGGCCATACAGCACCCTATGACAAAAATGGAAACCACCAGCAGTGTGAGGAGACCTGAAAAAGTGGCACATGGCAGAGTGTGGCGATAGAGACAGCAGCAATGGGAGGCCGTACAGGGACCCATGACACACTCTGGACCTGGCAGCAGCATGAGGAGGGCGGTACAGGGGCCCATGACAGACTACGGGCCTGGCAGCAGCATGAGGAGTCGGTACGGGGGCCCATGGCAGATTACGGGCCTGGCAGCAGCAATGGGAGGCCGTACAGGGACCCATGACACACTCTGGACCTGGCAGCAGCATGGGGAGGCGGTACAGGGCCCATGACAGATTACGGGCCTGGCAGCAGCATGAGGAGTCGGTACGGGGGCCCATGACACACTCTGGACCTGGCAGCAGCATGAGGAGGCGGTACAGGGGCGCATGACAGATTACGAGCCTGGCAGCAGCAACTTGGACAGGAGGACGTTCAGCTTCTGCACCGTCGGGTGCGTGCTCGCAAACTGTTGTCTCTTGGAAACGGATTCCAAGAAAGACTGCTGACGGAATCCGTGAAGAGGAGTAGCAGGAGAAGGAGCATCTGAACGAGCGGAATATGCCAACAAGCGACAACAGGGGCCCATGACAGATTACGGGCCTGGCAGCAGCATGAGGAGTCGGTCGGTACGGGGCCCATGGCAGATTAGGGGTTGGCAGCAGCTATGGGAGGCCCGTAATCTGCCAGCACCCTATGACAAAAAATGGAACACACCAGCAGTGTGAGGAGACCTGAAAGTGGCACATGGCAGAGTGTGGCGATGGAGACAGCAGCAATGGGAGGCCGTACAGGGACCCATGAGAGACTCTGGACCTGGCAGCAGCATGAGGAGGCGGTATAGGGGCCCATGGCAGATTAGGGGCCTGGCAGCAGCTATGGGAGGCCCGTAATCTGCCAGCACCCTATGACAAAAAATGGAACACACCAGCAGTGTGTGAGGAGACCTGAAAGTGGCACATGGCAGAGTGTGGCGATGGAGACAGCAGCAATGGGAGGCCGTACAGGGACCCATGAGAGACTCTGGACTTGGGCAGCAGCATGAGGAGGCGGTATAGGGGCCCATGGCAGATTAGGGGCCTGGCAGCAGCTATGGGAGGCCCGTAATCTGCCAGCACCCTATGACAAAAAATGGAACACACCAGCAGTGTGAGGAGACCTGAAAGTGGCACATGTTTGGGGCATGATTCATGGCGGATTTAGTCAGTTGTGTCAGGAACTGGTGGTTTGAAATCCAGACTAATCCACGCCTGATTCATTTTCACAAACGTGAGTCTCTCCACACTTTGGGTGGACAGTCGTGTCCTCCGCGGAGTTGCAATTACCTCCTGCCGCACTAAAACACGCGCTCCGATGCCACGCTACTGGCCGGGCATGACAGCCTTTTCAAGGGCAAATTCAGCTAGTTGGGGCCAAAGGTCAAGTTTCATTGCCCAGTAGTCAAGGGGATTGTCTACCTCGGTTGGCAGGGTGCTGTCCAAGTAGGCCTAAGCCTGTTGTTTGAGGGTCCTGCTCAGGTCCACCTGATGCTGCTACTGCTGCTGCTGCGGCTGGTTAGTAGTTTCCTCACTGCGCTGGTGAAGAAAGCTACTCATCATCGACTGCAGACTGAGGCAGCCGCTGCTGGTGGAGCTGCCACTGCTCCTACCACCCCCACCCCTCCCCTGCTGCCATGGCAGCGGAACGCGAGCAAGCGCACAGGGCCCCACAGTGTCTGAGGATGGACGTTGGCGCAGACAGGCAGAGACCAGCTGACTACATAGGTGGTTTTTTATAGTACGTTATTTTGGCCTCCCTCTCAGCAGGTGTGAAAAAGGCCACCATTTTTGAACGGTAGCGAGGGTCCAACAAGGTGGACAGCCAAAAGTCATCCCTCTGTCTGATGGTTATTATTCGGCTGTCGCTACGCAAGCAAAGCGAGCATGCTATGGGCCATTTTGTGCCAAGGAATGCGAGGGACTCCCTGCCTCCATCTCCACAGCATACTGCCACGGTGCGTCTGGGTCCTCTGTCTCCTCTTCCTCCTCCTCCTCTACCAGATGCTCCTGCTCCTCCACTCCTGTCCGCTGAGTGGAAAAACCACCCATTTCACTCAATAATTCCTGAGCACCAATGTCCTCCTCTACCTCCTCCTCTTCTTCCTGTCCTGCCCCCACAGGGGTCATGTGGCGTTGAGATCTGTGCGCCACGTCTACCGCACCCTGACCAGCCATTGTTAACAGCATTTGTTCCAGGACGTGCAACAAAGGAATGACGTCGTTCATCCCATAGTCCTGCCGACTCACGAATAGCGTGGGCCTCCTCAAAGGGCCTGAGCAAGCGCAGGTGTCAGGCATGAGCTGCCAATGGGCTGACATCTAAGTTACACAGGGAGTACCTTTATCCGCTTTTAACATCAGGAAATCTGTGATGGCCTTTTGCTGTTCGTAAAGGCGGTCTAACATATGTAGGGTTGAATTCCACCTTGGTTGCAACGTCACAGCATGAGGAGGCGTCGGTATTATAGGGGCCCATGGCAGATTAGGGGCCTGGCAGCAGCTATGGGAGGCCCGTAATCTGCCAGCACCCTATGTCAAAAAAATTCAACACACCAGCAGTGTGAGGAGACCTGAAAGTGGCACATGGCAGAGTGTGGCGATGGAGACAGCAGCAATGGGAGGCCGTACAGGGACCCATGACAGACTCTGGACCTGGCAGCAGCATGAGGAGGCGGTATATAGGGGCCCATGGCAGATTAGGGGCCTGGCAGCAGCTAATGGGAGGCCCGTAATCTGCCAGCACCCTATGTCAAAAAATTCAACACACCAGCAGTGTGAGGAGACCTGAAAGTGGCACATGGCAGAGTGTGGCGATGGAGACAGCAGCAATGGGAGGCCGTACAGGGACCCATGAGAGAGACTCTGGACCTGGCAGCAGCATGATGAGGAGGCGGTATATAGGGGCCTATGGCAGATTAGGGGCCTGGCAGCAGCTATGGGGGGCCCGTAATCTGCCAGCACCCTATGACAAAAAATGGAACACACCAGCAGTGTGTGAGGAGACCTGAAAGTGGCACATGTTTGAGGCATGATTCATGGCGGATTTAGTCAGTTGTGTCAGGAACTGGTGGTTTGAAATCCAGACTAATCCACGCCTGATTCATTTTCACAAACGTGAGTCTCTCCACACTTTGGGTGGACAGTCGTGTCCTCCGCGGAGTTACAATACCTCCTGCCGCACTAAACACGCGCTCCGATGCCACGCTACTGGCGGGCATGACAGCCTTTCAAGGGCAAATTCAGCTAGTTGGGGCCAAAGGTCAAGTTTCGTTGCCCAGTAGTCAAGGGGATTGTCTACCTCGGTTGGCAGGGTGCTGTCCAAGTAGGCCCAAGCCTGTTGTTTGAGGTCCTGCTCCAGGTCCACCTGATGCTGCTGCTGCTGCTGCGGCTGGTTAGTAGTTTCCTCACTGCGCTGGTGAAGAAAGCTACTCATCATCGACTGCAGACTGAGGCAGCCGCTGCTGGTGGAGCTGCCACTGCTCCTACCACCCCACCCCTCCCCTGCTGCCATGGCAGCGGAACGCGAGCGCACAGGGCCCACAGTGTCTGAGGATGGACGTTGGCGCACAAAGGCAGAGACCAACTGACTACATAGGTGGTTTTTATAGTACGTTATTTTGGCCTCCCTCTCAGCAGGTGTGAAAAAGGCCACCATTTTTGAACGGTAGCGAGGGTCCAACAAGGTGGACAGCCAAAAGTCATCCCTCTGTCTGATGGTTATTATTCGGCTGTCGCTACGCAAGCAACCGAGCATGCTATGGGCCATTTGTGCCAAGGAATGCGAGGGACTCCCTGCCTCCATCTCCACAGCATACTGCCACGGTGCGTCTGGGTCCTCTGTCTCCTCCTCCTCCTCCTCTACCAGATGCTCCTGCTCCTCCACTCCTGTCCGCTGAGTGGAAAAACCACCCATTTCACTCAATAATTCCTGAGCACAAATGTCCTCCTCTACCTCCTCCTCTTCTTCCTGTCCTGCCCCCACAGGGGTCATGTGGCGTTGAGATCTGTGCGCCACGTCTACCGCACCCTGACCAGCCATTGTTAACAGCATTTGTTCCAGGACGTGCAACAGAGGAATGACGTCGTTCATCCCATAGTCCTGCCGACTCACGAATAGCGTGGCCTCCTCAAAGGGCCTGAGCAAGCGGCAGGTGTCACGCATGAGCTGCCAATGGCTGACATCAAAGTTACACAGGGGAGTACCTTTATCCGCTTGTAACATCAGGAAATCGGTGATGGCCTTTCGCTGTTCGTAAAGGCGGTCTAACATGTGTAGGGTTGAATTCCACCTTGTTGCAACGTCGCAGATCAGGCGATGCTGTGCAATTCCGTTCTGCCGCTGCAGCTCAAGGAGGGTGTGCTTTGCGGTGTAGGAAATGGCTGAAATGCATGCAAAGTTTACGTGACATTTTAAGGATGTCTTGCAGTGGGATGGTGGATTTTAGGAACCGCTTGACAACCAGATTGAACACGTGAGCCATGCATGGCGCATGGCACAACCTTCCTTGACGCAGAGCAGACAACATGTTCTTTCCGTTGTCGGTCAACATGGTTCCGATTTTGAGTTTGCGCGGAGACAGCCATCTGTCGATTTCTCTGTTCATTACACTGAGAAGTTCCTCCCCTGTGTGACTACGTTCGCCAAGGCATACCAGGTGCAGCACAGCGTGACACCGTTGCGCCCTGCACATGTGATATGCCGGTCGGGTAATGGGACTTGGCACGGGGGGGGTGGGTGGCGGCTGAGGACACGGCGGAAAGAAGAGGTGGTAGAGGCGGACATCTTTGCTGGACCAAGGACGTGCAAACGTGGAGGCAAAAGCGGCGTGACCTGTCCAAGTTGCTGGTGCGGCTGTGACGGCACCACGTTCACCCAGTGGGCCGTAAATGACATGTACTGTACTGTCCCTGACCGTAGTTACAGCTCCACATGTCGGCGCTGCCGTGCACTTTGGCAGAGACCGACATGCTCAAAGACTGGCCCCCACCATCTCTTCTACATGTGAATGCAGGGCTGGCACTGCCTTTTTGGCGAAGAAATGACGGCTTGGCACTCTCCACCGCGGCGCGGCACAAGCCATCATTTCTCGGAAAGGTGCTGAGTCCACCACTTGGAAAGGGAGGGACTGCAGCACCAGCAACTTGGACAGGAGGACGTTCAGCTTTTGCACCGTCGGGTGCGTGCTCGCAAACTGTTGTCTCTTGGAAACGGATTCCAAGAAAGACTGCTGACGGAATCCGTGAAGAGGAGTAGCAGGAGAAGGAGCATCTGAACGAGCGGAAGATGCCAACGAGCGACAACTCCCCTCAGCAGAGGTGTTGGAGCCTTGACTGGCTGATGGAGGGCGATTGA